AGGTGTCCAATCCAACCTTGTCACATGTAAAGACGCAGGCGATTGTGATTCGTCCCAACAATTCCCGTTGTGTGTATAAACCGTTCGTTAAGGCTTTACTGTGGCCAGCTGCTATCTGGGCGGCTTCCGTGTGAACAAAGTACACTCATTATGACCAATTTGACTTCTATATTTACTGAGGATTTTACAATTTTCAATACGAACATTTTACTATTTCAACTTCTGTTCCGATCTGTTGAAATCATCTGATAGATTTTCTTCAGTGTTGTTGTAACGTAGAACAGATAGCAAAGCTATGGATGCAAAACGGTTACACGAGGGAAATAATTCTATCGCTGCAACAAGATTAAACAGGTAGTACAGTGGGCCTATTCTGAGCAATCACATTTAAAGAAGCTGCGTCGTTAAAGTTTATGCGACAGATTTGGCACTGCGGAAGTTGACAAACTGGAAACAGAATTCAATTCTGCTGTCGAATTCCACTACAACGCTAGCACAACAATCGCCATCTGGTTTGTGTGCAGAATGAAACGGAACGCTCAATTCTATGTGTCATGGATGATACGCCATAGAGAAGCCGATGTTAGGGGAGTTTGTGCATATGTCTTAGTTTAAGCGAATCGAGACGACCCTGAGACATTTTGACGATCTGTAACGACTTGGAAGGCAAATCTCAATCAACGGTGTCAGGTTTTTTTTGTCCTTTCAAGGATCGACCACGTCCCCAGGTGCAACATTAGCAACCAGTGCAAACCGAGTTAGCCGGTTAGAGGGTATACGATGGAAACGACATGGAAAACCAGAGCAGTGTTGCTCACACAGCGCGGTGGATTACAAAAGGGTAAGTAAACATTTGAACATATTAACATGCATTCTCGTCGCGATGGGGCACGGATGTTTGTCCTTCAAATATGGTGGAAGAAAAGGACGAAGTTTAAAGAAACGAAAAGATACCGTCATGGATTGTTGTATCCCATGAGGATCAATGCAGTCTCGTGTGCAAAGAGAGCGGTTACGGTATATCAGCCGTAGCTCAGGTATTATACGAGCATGTTGATGTTGCTACGAAAACGTCGCCTATTAATACGATCATCGCTGAAACAGTTAAGCATATTGAACAGTGAGGAAGTGCTATATACATGAGTGGATTTAGAAGGTGAAGACCGAACAGCGTCAAACGAATAAAGTTCCAGAGTGGAAGCAAGTGGCAGGAAACAATATTGAACAAGCCTTTAACTCGTCGGGCTCTAAGTTTTATTTTATTGACCGCAAAACGTAGGCACGTTCACTATACAATAAATCAGGGCACAAGAAAACGGTGAATTTATCACCGCGTACAGCCAGCGACCGTAGGCGAAGCCCACAGACTAGTGGACCCACTGTTTCCGCAAAATCTATGGTCCAAAAGGAAAAGGTGTAGAGGAAAATTATGGTTGAACGAATGTGAATACTAAGGCCCGTAGCCTTAAAGATCACAAGTCTGTCTAGTAATGAAGAGGTCGCGGGCTCCAGCCTGCGTAGGGACCGGACGATGCTCGCAGTATCCTAAGCTCGCACGTGACCGTTAGCGGTTGCGTGGCAACGAAGCGTCAGTACTGTGTGCCAGCGTACTGCTGATGCCAATGCAAAGGTTGCAAATATGCGAAACCGGCATTTACGAGTGGAGTAAGTCCAAAGAAGAATAAGATGAAAAAATACACAGTGAACGGGAACACATTTCGAGAAGAAAACCGAACAACGCATCAAATCCCCGAAGAGAAAGAAATGAATGAGTTCAGAAAAGGAGATCAAGGGTGAGAGAAAAGAGAGACGGGACATCATAGTACTTACTCATTTGATGGCATGCTCGGGCTATGTTGTAGTACACCTCCTGGCAGCGACCTCGGTTTCGCCGGTATTCACATAAAAAGCCAAAAGCCTAGCAGCAATCAGTGGAAAAATAGAAAGCGATTAAAAACAGATATTCGAATGGTTGTAATCATTATTGTCCATACTTATAGTGCCAGGGGGTCTCGCTGTATAACTTATCCTAAGTCATTCATAAAGGTAGACAGTACTAGAAAAAAGAAAAAAGCAAACAATGGTATCTCACGACAACATCCGTGGTTACTACGTAACTCAATTCAAAGGTATCTGCGAAGTCGAGTAACTAATGGGATTCGATAGGAATGTACGTAAAAGCAAGCGATTGTTGGAATTGCTGAGATGCGATAAATTACATAAAACTAGTAACGAAGTGTATGGGATGAAGAAAACAGCTGTGGATATTGTTGAGTTAAAGGGCGCAACACTGCAATGGCGCCGCTAGGAAAAGTGGCACCCAGTTGATTAGTGAACCTCAAGGTGACGGGTAGATCGACACGTTCTGCGGCGAAGTCGGAGTGATTCACCACCACGAAAAACTGGAGAAGCAAAGGAGAAATAGAACTCAAACAAAAATAATTAAATGGTCAAGTTTTGGCGAACATGCCAACGCAATTCTTGTCGTACAAATCTTCCTTTGATTTATACATGCTCGTTGCTTGAAATATTTGTACTTTGAAAAACAACACGGATTTTGTGCCTCAAAAACACAATGTATGGTACAAGGGCATGGTTGTCCTTGCTTGTACATCATAAGCATATCACAAGTCGTTCGTTAGGGATTGAAAGTGTCCCACCTAGCGCGCAATTTCGTAGCAACAACACCCTTGTTGCTTGTCTGAAAAGTGTACCATACATCAAAAATATAAGGTAACTTATCGGGTCGAAGCTCGTTCAACATGCTTTGATGCGCTGGAGTATGAAATAATTAGGCTGGACCTCATGGAAGGATAATCCAACTCAGAGGCCAGCGAAATATGTCAGCTAGATTAAACTGCTGGTATTATTAGTAGATCAGGTTGGTTATTTAAGTGCTCTACTTCTCCAAGATTGGCAGAAACCCAACCCTGCGCTAACGCTTGGTGGTGATCTGCTAGAAGTCGTCCAGAAATTCAAGTACCTGGGCAGCTATATTAGCACCCGTGGAATCGGAGATAAGGTTACGAACTGTAGCAAAAGCTCGAGCTGCTTTTGCCAATCTCCGTCACCTGTGGCGCAGACGCGACATTACTCTCGCCTTGAAGGGCAGAGTTTACAACGCAGCCGTCCGTTCAACTCTCCTATATGGCTGTGAAACCTGGCCCATCAGGTCGACAGACATGAAGAGGCTCGTCACATTCGATCACCGCTGCCTTCGCAGCTTAGCTCATGCCTGGTGGGAACACCGCGTGAGCAATGAGCGTGTTCGACATCGCGTATTTGGTGCAGGAAGAGCGAGTGAACCGCTCAGCACCATCATATCACGCGCCAGGCTCCGATGGCTGGGACACGTGTTGCGCATGCCAGCACACCGACTCCCGCGACGTGCATTGTTTGCGCGTTGTGGGTGCGGTCGGAAGAGGAGGAGGGGAGGCCAAGCGATGACTTGGTCGAGAGAAATGAAAACCCTCACTTCGAAGTTGGCGTCAGTTGGTGCATCCCGACTGCCTGGCTGGGGTCCTAAGGACGGTGAAGACGTCTGGTTGGACACACTTGCTGATATGGCTAGGAGCCGGCCCCAATGGCGTTTGTGTTGTGAGTTCCTTTGTCCATCCCCTCCTGTTTAGCACCCCCCGTCCAATCATGATCGCAATCGTTAGGCATAGTATGACTTTCTTTTACGACAGCCAGCTGTTAGCTCTCCGGAACGATGTCCATCCGTTACTGGGGACTCAGCGGGCGTGCCACTGTTTGTTTTTCTTTTCTTGCCTTTTGTATTGCGGCACAATAGCTGAGGTGTTTTCCACCTACAGCTAACGTGTAATGATGATGATGATGATTTAAGTGCTCATGACAATTTGGTCGCAGAAGTTGCACCACAAAACTAGGTGACATCAGTGGTATGTAACTACGTAATCTGTAGTAGCACGGTTGAAACTAACAAGAGAGCTCTGTCAGTGCAGTGTATTGCACCTATTGTGGCAACAAGTTACCAACAAGTCAAGGAAACGCATGCAATACGTAGTTGAATGTCGAACGGCATGCGACACCTTAGAAATTCCAATTCAACATGGTTTCACATGGTTTCAGCGCTATCATTAGATAGCTGAACCGAGAGTAAATTGGGTGGTCGTGCAGGCAAATTCCGCAAAAAATAATTGCATTTAAAACATCACTGAAATTTCACCTCCTTGCATACTTATGCGGGCGCAACTAGAGCCACCGGAGCGTTGGTCCTGTTTAACCACTATTGAACCATTTTTAGCTTTTACCAAACTTGAGTACCTGCCATGCACTGACTCAAACACTGTCGGCTCGTCAATTGTGTTTTTCTCCTAAATGACACCCATATATGGGTTGTGTCAACTGGCTACAAGTGGTCGCAGAAAACGCTTTAAAAGGTAATGTAAAGACATAATTCCCATTAATACACAGAGTCCAAAAACGTGTACTGAAGCCTTTCCAATATGATACATAGAGCACGCCACAAGCTCTGCGTACATGAGTCCTAGAACACACCCTATCGCAATCCACAAATATTTGTCATGTTTATAATTATGTCTTATAACACTACTCCCTGTGCACTATTCAATCTACAATCCATAACGTTTCACTATGTCCCCTCTTCGCGTCTTCCGGGATTGCGGTTCATTTCAGAGCTTCAAAAAATATGATCATCGTCAACGCATGACGCATGTTTGGAAGAAATATCTGGTTGATATCTCGAAATAAAATCCCTTACCACTGGAAAGCAACCTGTTTACACTTGCAGTTCTGAGTGAATCCTGTGCATAATTATTGTGAAAGCCTCACTGGATGGTGTCTCGCGCTGGTGAGATTATGGCTGATAGGACTTGGGAATCAGCCAGTGGAGCCCATCAGAAAAGGCAAGCATTGTGCCGTCAGGAATGGTGAGTATGTTGCGTCTATCTTCCACATTGCAATCCAAACTCCCCATTGCTGTACCAATAGGTCAGCGGCAAACAGTTAGCGTTCCCATCAGATATGAGCAACACTCGACATGCACCGGTGAGCAAAGTTGACTACTATACATCAGCTATCCTACTGTGAGAGACAAATGATCAGACAACGCGCAATATTGACAGTTATCGGTTTCCATGAAAATGAATGGGTAACCGAAGTTATTTTACCGGCTAACGGTCTTATCCCATATAACATCTGGTCCTGGATAGCTTCCACTACACAATCTGTCCTGGTCTGCGTGAACATGGTTTGTTGCAAACAAACGCAATCAGACAGCTGCCCCATAACCGAAAAAACGTTAGACGGCCGTTTCATCCGACAGAAATTCGTCAGGAGAGCGTAACCGCCGAAATCTGTCGGGCTGAAACACATGGAATCATTTTCCTTCTACTAGTCAGCCACTCAAGCCAGGGCGACGGTGGAGGACCGTTATGACTGCCTATGATAAAGCACAGCCCCTCATTCACAGCGTCATCACCACCTTCGGACCGGATATACCATCGGCACGAATCGTCCTTGACGAACCCGATCATGTAGCTACAAAAGCAATCCGTTAAAGAGAACAGTTCCCCGACTAGTTATCTAGGCCTATGAGACGCACAGTTCATTAAGGAAGACAAGTGATTGGTACAAGGACAAAAAGTCAGAAAATGAATAGATATTGTCATGAAACACTTGGGACCCTTTTGAACTCGAAGCATGTCCAGATCAAGATTTCGCATGCCAAAAAAGTAATTTGCAAAGCGATTTTGTCGGTAAATTAAGCATATTCTCAGCCGATGCATGTCAGTTCGCTAGATAACGAGTACAGAACCTGGCACGATACTGCGACGTACAGAAGTGCTGATTTATATTTCTTTTGTTGAAAACTGCAGAAAACGCGGCTGTGAATCAAATAAACGTGAACGCTGCATCAAAGTACAAGAATAGGGCGGGTTAACTGGCGTAAATCCAATAAGCCCATCTAAAAATGAGAAGGTATTATAAGCTTTTCGCGCTGGGATCTGTTCTGAGTCATTAAAAGAAGTGTACAATCGCATAAAAAACCGATGCATAGATAGCGTCTCATTGGTGAAACATCAAAAGACAAATAGACAAGTCTGAATCCGGAGAGTGTGCTTAGCAGGTGGGGTGTAGAACCTCATGCAGGGACAAATGAGATAATAGACTGCAGCAACTACCTACTGAGTATGGTGGATTCAGGAATGGAGTCAATGGGCAAAGTGGGCCAAATCACTTAATTCTAGATATGTGCCAAATCAAAAGTTGGAACTCCAGTAGATAACGAACCTGCAGGATGTATGAATGACGAGATACAAGGTGTCGATTGACAGCGATTCCAAGGAAGCTGACAGCGAGTAACAGTGGTAAGAGGGGATCGGTAAGATGCACTTCCCAGACACTGACCAACCGTGCTGTAAATGATGAGGGAAAATAGGTGCAAGAAAGTAGTAGATCATCAAAATGAACAGAATCAATGCTTATAACGAAAGTAATCATTCACGAAAAATATCTAGCAAAAGCAAATATGCGTTGAATGCAAGCAGAATGCTTTGGATGCAAAACAGAAAGAAATAAGGAGAAAACACATCAATTAAGCTGGAGTTCGTTACTTTGAAATGTAATCGTATCACGTCTAATCAATAGGCGACGTTTCAACGCAGTGTTCGTGGAAATGACACCATTTCGTTTGATTACACTAGTCAACAATGGTTTTTGTGTCAATGTTATTATGGTGGTTTTAGGGCAATTTCGTATAACTGATTCCCAATCTGGCATCCGTTTTGGCGCTAGTTTTTAATATATGGTGTACCGACAGAAAGATATTTTATGGTAGAAAACAACAGGCTTTGTCCAAGAATCATTGGAAGCAGTAAATACCTAATGGTCTTGGTATTGCTCTCTCCAACACCAAAACCCTCCACTTCAGTGACGATCCCTGTGATCAGAATGGTAGAGTCTGGCTTAAAAGTCAACCGAAGCCACAATCGAGATTGCGTGTCGCAAACCAAGATACACGGTGGGTATTCCGAAACCAAATATTCATCTAATGGCCTTGTATACATGATAGTTGAAGAGATAATCTACTAAGCTGATGCATATCATGGTAGTTGGTAATCGGAAAGGCGCCTTTTTGTACAATCTCCTGCAATGCGGTTTATCTGGAAAGTACGCTCCAGCAGTAGTCCGACATCAATCGTCTGTCCCACCTGTCTTGATACCCCATTTACATCATAATGCTACTACTTTTTTCTTTATTGAAATCCGGGAATCTATCAAAGTGGCCATTAAGAAAATGCAACCTAATGTTGTAACCCAATGTTTCAAAGTTTGCGAGCATATTCTCCAACAAATCTTTAAAGTTGCTTCCTTTATGACGGATACAAAACTATCTAAAGCGTATGCTTTAGCACTATTCGTACACATAGTAAAATCTAAAGCGATAATTAGCTGTAAAATTTGAGGACCATTTCATATGCAAACTGTTAGTTTCTCAAAACTCAGTTTAAGTAATGCTGTACAAATGTACTTGAAACAAGCAGTAACTTTCTCCAGTGCTTTAACAAATTGCTTCATCACCCTCAACTTTATATGCAGCGATGAAAAAATAGTGTCTCCTTTGTCAATCAAAGGCTTCTTTATGGTATTCGCTGCATCTACATTCATGTTCTCCCTGGTAGATGACCAAGTGACTTTCTCAAATGATATTTGTTTAGCCCTGCTGTCCCATAGGGAAATGAAGAAAGGATATATTTCGTATGCACTCTCCTGTCCCAGTAAAAGTTCGCCATCTTTAAAATCACGCATATAATCCAGATGTGCATAGTATTATGGGATAACTTCACTGAAACCTTTTTAAAACCTTCATATTCTTTAAGTGTAGTAGAGTGGGTATAGTGACTTCCGCTGTGCGATAAAACGCACTTCAAACTTCGGTTGCAGCTGTCTCTAAATGGTCTCCAGCATATCGGTTGATATCTCGGTAGTCCCATTACCAGAAGAAATTCAGCAATATTATTGTAATAGACGAGATATTCACTTCGGCAAAAACGGTAGAACTGTCCATTCTCTTGCTGTTATTTTAGATTCCGTTTTAAGCAGTGATTTTCTTGGACCTTGCTGTTAACAGCTCATATACCTGTTTTGATAAACCAAGATCTCGTATGGGGTCGTTTAGTTCTTCTCGTGAAAAGTGCTGAGATGTTAGACAACTGCCTTCATCGGCATTGCCACTGCTATCACCAGTACTACAGCAATGATTCTTGTGATAGGACCTTTGAAGCCTTTCACATTAACAACACAGAAGTAACAATCATTGTGATGACTTGTCGATTCTCTCCATACCATAGACACACTAAATTCGAACCTTTATTGCACCAGTTGCCCACTTCTGGAGAGTTATTGCAAAACCTTAGAGGAAAAATCGGGAGCTTTAACTTATCTCTAATTTTTGCACCAGAGTAAGCGCAATATGCATGCCACACAAAGGGAATGATATTTTTCCTTTCATTTGCCATAATGTATTCGCCATAAATGTAGCGGAATGCATAGGAATCGTTCAAACAGTTAGGTTAGGCGGAACTCATATATCCGTGAAAAAACAGGGGAAACTAATTTTCCTAATAATGATTTACAAAGAATATTTTCTAATTAATTATATAGCAAAAAGCAAGAGACAATTTGTGAAAAGTGCTTTCACATTTGAAACAGGCACAACCGAATTCGTATAAGTAAGTTGAAAATCCCCACGTCAGGAAAATTTCTTGTTGTTGTTGCTTACTGTTATTTCCCAACGATGCAAAGTAAAATGAGTGAGACAATAAACTGCCCTTACCAGTGTGTTAAGTTCAGCACAAAGCCTGCGGCAGTGAAAAAAAATAATAGGTAGCCACCCGCTGTAGATCCATTCTAATGCGAGGACCATTCCACGTCAACAACTATTACAACGAACAACGCAAATAATTCAAGCATCTCCAAGTTCAGTTCAATTCAGTTATACAGGCGTGATCCGGGTACCGAAACATCACTGCAACGAAACTGAACCTTAATGTGGTACGATGATTTGCTACCTTCGTGATCCATTGAGCTGGGCTGGACGGCAGTTTCCAAGTGCCTTCAGAGCCGCTCATACCAGACAGGTCTATGATTCAGACCAATTCATTCTCAGCATCCCCTTGCTAGGTGGTAGAGAATCAATATTCCTCTTCACTTAATACATAACCATGGGAGACAACAGGTTTGAGGGTTATAAGCTCACAGCTCGATTGGTGACGAGCACGGGCGCCACGTAATTTTTCTGATGATGCGCGCGCACCACACGATACTCGATGGTTTGCGCCTCAAGCCAAGCAGCCTCTGGTCAAATTGGTGCAAACCCGCCAAAACCCTTCTGCGTCTGATCGTGGTCGCAGGTGCGTAATATAGTTGGCGGAATTCGATTCCAGAGACGTCTGTTACCGCGGCCTACATCGGATAGCCACAGGATGCCTGCACATACTGAGGAACAATGGGTGGCTTGTGCTGTACCATTCACACACCCCATATCCGGTGTAAACCCAGAATAAGACCAGGAGGCATGTGAATTGGAGCCACGTTTCATCAATGGGGACGGCCCACACTCCCTCAAAATGCACAGCGGTAGCAATCCTGTTTGTCTATGTGAGGAATCATGCGTCCTAGACGTGCACAAGGCGACGGCTTGGCCGTAGCCCGTTCCACGCTGGATGCATGAAACCATTCTCTGCGCCGAGCACAGCCAGGGGACCGCGCATTTCTTCTCCATAAACAACGTGTAACTGGCTCCTAAAGCTAGTGTATTCAAAGTAGCGGATTTTCGACAGGTAGGTATGTTGTCAGCATTCACATCAAGCGCAGCCAAACTGGGGATCTTCAAAAAGAAAGGCATAATATGAAAGAAAATAAACACGCAAACTGGACGGATTTGCGGTATAACAGAACAGAGCAAATCACAAAATGTGTAGTCTGATCTACCCCTGAGGTATAAGTCAGGGGATGTAAAGCCAATAACACCGAAAAAAGTAAAGAATACCCAAAAAATATACAAGGAATACGCTGATAAACAGAGTTAGGCAAATAATATAAGTTCAGTCAGATCGTGGAATGTGGAACAAGAATAGTACAAGTTACTAGCTTAGGTGCGTAACATACTGCGATCGCAGAACACATGTGAATAACTCTAAACCATCAAAAGCCTTAGGAAGATCTCAACAGGTCCATGCAATCACTCCCGAGCTGGATTTGCTCCCCACTGCCTTATGGTTCAGGCTATTGAGCCAAACGCTATAGGTAAGACACCCCGAACAAAACCCCTCTTTCGGAATGGGCAGCCGGAAAGTATCATCTGCCCTCTCGACTACATCGACAATACTCCCTCTGGTTCTTGTTTTTCTCTCCCCTCCCCTCTTTTTCCCCGTCTATTGAGCAAGAGACTGCCCCTGACCTCGCACCTGCTGCCATCGATACATGTCGCTCTTCCATCGAAACCTAGTTTCATTTCACATTGGCCCGGTTAACGTCTGCACTTTGCGTCAGGTTGGTCAACAAGTAACACCAATTCTCCCCCTTCACTATCTAAGTATTGATGTGTGTCGTGTCTCCGAAACACGCACACAAGATAAATGCTTTGTGACAAATTTTTAACGCCCTGGTTCTGAATCTGATAAGAATGAATACACTGGCCGTATAATGAGTCAATGGCTGCGACAGTGCAAGTGGTTCAATCACCTGAGCTGACGTGGGAAGTTGATGCAACATTTCCCACCTCAAAAGAGGCCGAAATAAACTTTCCGTTTTGTAATGAAACATGCCTCCGGGAATCAACGACCATCCTCCATGCTGAAAGATGTTGACTGTAGACCAGACTGATTGCTCTATTCAACACGATATTGGACACTGAAGAGGTGTCTTCAGACTGGTGACTGTGTTTTGTCGTGCCCGTCATGTAAAAAGTCAACAGACTTTGTGCGAAGAGCATCGAGGCATTCGCCTTCTTTCCATTGACTCTAAACTTCCTACGATTATCATTTCTTGAGGACTCCTTGGTCCAAGTGAGAGTCAAATCATTGAAAACCAGGCAGGCCCCCGCACTAGTTGCATTGACCACATTACTTATGAATGGAAGGATCTTGGTGAGTATTTTTGTTCGTCGCAATCAGCCGACAATTCAGATATGTCGACCAGCTATCCGGAGAAGCACCAGACGGCCGTTTTGCCCTATTGGGGCTCATCAGTGCTGTGCGTCCTTCGGTCCTCTGCGGAGGATCGAACCCATGACGGCTAGTGGCTCTTGCCAACTAGCCCGCAGCTTATGCAACTGCGCCATGGAGGACGGTATCTGACTATCATGAATTGTTAGCTAAATGCGATATAGCCCGATTCATAGCTGCCTTAACCG